GTCTAATTCGGATAAAAAGAGAGCAATTCTGGTACTGAGTCACCGGACGGGCAGAAAACACCGCCAGAAAAATATAAGCACTATTTTCGCTGGATTGATTTCAAATTGTGGTGTCTAGAACGTCTAAACGGTGCGTGTGTGATTTACGTAAGACTACCAACTGTTGTCTACGTCTAGCTAAAATCGGGTCACAATGTTAACGTATATATGTAGGGAGAGGGGATAACTCACGCGAGATGAAAAAGTTCGAATCCACCGGTTTAACCATGGATTGGATAGCCGGGAACGCGGAAAGGGAACAGAAGAAAACAGACCACACACTCAAACAATGTGGCCAACACTCCCGGAAGCAAGTCACGTATCGACTCCAATAGGCACGGCATCGTTGAACACCGGTGGGCTGTGGTGATCACAAAAAATTGGCATGAACAATGTGAGAGAGGGGCGAATACTAACAAAAAATATCAAATGGCATGAATCAAGGCTTTAGCTCAGTTCGATTTAGACCACTGTAACTGCAACAACAATTCCGCGATCCGATTTTGGCAACCCATATAGTATTCCTTCAATGAGGTGATGCCCAGACAGACGTATACAGATTATTGCGGAAAACTCAGATGCGTTGAAAAAGTGGACGAAGTATGTCACGTCCAGCCATGTCACCTAACCATCGGTTAAGCTGCTGCTGTTGCTACAGAAAACCCCAAACAGGGAGCCAAATGCAACCTATTAAGCCGAGTCCATTGACTACGGTCTTCATACCTGCACGCTAGATCGTGGTCTGGTCACCTTGCCTCGGTAAGCGTTTCACACCTAAGAATTCCAACACATGCTCCAACTATTGCCGGTAATGAAGACCAAGCACTGTTTCATCATGACCATTCAATACTCGTTTGTGTATAACCTTGGCAACGCTTGTCTGGTAGAACCATCACTACCAACGCGCACTGGTACAAATAAATCAGGGTTGAAAACGACTGACAATGTTTTGATTTAGATAAAGGAAAAGGAAAAAGCATCTGATTATGACAAAATGCGGGTCTGTTTACGAAGTAATTAAGACTCTTGAGCACCTAGTCAAAAACCTGCTTTCTCCCTTGTGATTTTATAACTGCCTTCTTACGATACTTCTGGAGTTTAACGATAAAAAAACTCAACCAAGAGAGAGAGAGAGACTGTGTAGCATATTTACCAGGGAAAACTGAAAATTATACTTTATGTGAGTAATGGGGGATTTGATTCAATTTCAGACGGGAATTCGTCGTGTATACAGCAAATTAAGCGTGAATTGAAAACCTAGGAAGCACTGAACAGCTGTTTCCACCTAGCTGGGTCTCATCAGCCTTATCGTGTAAATGGAAAATGAAAAAACGGCCTGATCAGCTGTCCGGTGGCCGAGTGGGTAGCATGCTTGCGTTCAGCCCATGAGGTTCCGGGCTCGATCCCCAGTCGGGTCGATGGATTCACACTGCTGCAGATGAGACCCAACCAGGTCGAAACAGTTGTTCAGTGCTTCCTAGCTTTTCAGTTCGGGCTTCACTTGCTATATATATATACGACGAATTCCCCTTTGAGATTAAAATTACACATCAAAAATCGTGCCGTAATGGTTTAAATCAGAGCTATGCAGTGGATGCAATTACTTCCTAAATAAGTTTCAGTAATTTTTAGGAAGTGAGCAAAACGTGTGTGCCAATGTGGTTCAATGTTGCTTTGCTTCATCACTCACGATTGGTCTAACATCCGAGCGGCTGGTCAGAACCGTTATCTGCTGCAGTGCTCCAAACTGCGCGTGAGTTGTTTGATGTGAGGAATCGGTAGAAGGAGTTCGATTGCACAGGGCAAAAGAAAACCGACCGTAAATGGTTAAAATAACGATTTTAGTGGACTGAAATTAAGCGGCACGTGAATCGGATGAGGCAAATGAACTCTCTTCTCCTCACGCCACACTTCACAACTCATACCGTCAGAGTTATAGAACAGGCCTGTAGTCTGGTCTCTCCAAATCGTGTGAAATGGCAACAGGATCTATGGAAAACGGCTCAAGACTGGGGAGCTTTCAATCCGTTGCAGTCCGGTTAGGGTGCTACCAGTTTTGACATCGTACTGGTGTGCGTGAACTGCGCCGCAATCTGGGTAAAATTAAATCAAGAATCACCCCGAAAGGAACGAACTGGTCGGACGTAAAACTCGGGCATTGAAGGTCTTGGCGATTTGTGATACTAGACAACATAGCGTGGTGGAAAATAGAACAGAAAAACTGCTCAATCACATGTGCTAGGATACGAAAGTGGGATTTTGCACCATGCTTCTTCGCAAGCCGGAGGTTTGTAACACCGGGTGACCATTAGATAGACAGCTCTTTCAGAACCAGTCCTAACCGCAACAAACGTGGCATAATGGTCTTTGTAGAATATTTTACAATAAGTAGTATGTGAATGATCGGACAAAATTTACCTGGAAGCACGCGACCGGTTTCGCGGTTCTTGCCGCTCGTCAGGCATGCGTATCCGGTAATCTTTTGCCAATTGATACATATACTTGTAGTCAGGAAGTGCATTTTCGTCACAATAACCTTGTTCGAAACACCGGGAACATCGAATCATAGCATTGATTCTCCAATGAACTGGCTCTGTCTATCAAATATATATGTATCCTCTACCACGAAAATCCAATGATCGTAATACAGTTCAAACCATGGGGTTAAGACCAGAATAAACCGTAGCGATTTGAACCGTTTAATCGTAATTGCCCTCGAAACTAAATTTTTGATTTAATTTAATCCTATAACTGATCCAACCGAGTCATAATCCGGAAGGCTAGTACTGAGATGAGTGAAGTACGATGTCCGTAGCAAGCTTACAGAGATGGAGTGTGCTATATCGTGTATATCCAAAGTGAGAACAATCTGATCAGCTGTCCGGTGACCGAGTGGGTAATATGCTTGCGTCCTACCTGTTAGGTCCCGGGTTCGATTCACAGCTGAGTCTAGGGATTTGCACTGCATATGAGACTCAACCGGGTCAAAACAACTGTACAGTGCTTCCTACCTTTTCAGTTCACCCCTCATCTACAGACAATGCAACAGACATAACAGGGATATTCGTGTATAGAGAGTAAGAGTGGAAAATAACTTTACGCACACTCACCCGCGAGAAGCAACAAATTCCAAAACAGTTGCGCAACACTTGCACATCCCCCGCTGGGAGATCGTTTGTCCTGGAATCCGTGACCGGTGTTTCACTGGCACGGATCAGTGAATGGGTTTCCAATTTTTCCGCACTGATCGCAGGTAATGTGGACTCCGGGGTTGTTGTGTCTACGGTGTTCAGATCCTCCAGATTCACTGCACTCGAATTCTCCCCATTTCTGCTCGGATTGCAGAAGTCCACGTCCGGGGTAGTTGAACTTGTTGAACTGCCCTTATGTATGGACGTGAATTTCTCGTTCTCACCGTGGTCCATGTCAGCGTCGTGTGTTCCATTATTCTCTGGCGCATAGATTTCAATGCACCCCTTATTCCTGACAGCTGCATAGTACCTCACAAATTTCTGAAATGACGGTAGAAATAGAATTACAGCGGGATGGGAGTGGGGGTTAGGAGAACAAAATGGACAGCTTCGTTCGGAATGAAAACCGCCAGTGACACGTGATCATTG